GGGGGGGGGGGGGTTTGCATGAGCTAACATGTTGTATTCATGGCCTAAAAGTTCAGTGTATGCTCTGTACAGCAGAATGGTCTGCTAGAGGCTACAAGGCATTTTGTCCCATTGTCAACTTGAAATCTCCAAATCCTGGAAAGTTGGTAGGTAAAGTGGTTTCTTGTAGCAATCAAGGCTATTGGGAAAGGATAGATGCAAAATATATCATTAACATGGCAGTGGGGAAAAACTGTGGATGGTTTGGACACGTGTTGGCTAAAGACTACACTCTGTGGCTTGGCAGAGGACAGCAGGACATGCAGGAAGTAGACTATATAGAATGGTGTGGGGGGGGGATCTAGATTTGTTACTTGATGGTGCAGTGATGAACAAAATACAGTATGGAGAATGACTGACTAGTTCCTACATCTTACTAGACTAAGGGTGGCCAAAATATGGCTCACCCAGGGATTTTTATCTGGCCTGCAGCAGGTCCCTTGGTCCAGGCGCAGGGGGCAGCCCAGGCTGTGGCACATGTGGCCAGTCCTGCTGCTCTAGGCATATAGCTTGGCAGGGGTGGTGCAGTGGCCAGACTCCACTTCCCATCAGCTCACTGCCTGGCTGCTGCCAGTCTACTCCATTCCCACTGTTGGGGGTAGGTGGGGTCTCCACAGAGACTAGCCTAGGACCCCTACGGGAAGGGCATGTTTGGCTGGTTGTATGGAATGGGGCCATGAGTAAGTAGGGAGTAGCAGCCAGGGCCAGGATCTTGGGGCAGTGACAGCATGGGGCTGGGGCCAGGATCACAAGGCAGTGACTAGGGCTGGGGCAGTGTCTGGACCAGAAGTGGCCCCCCCACTTCACCTGCAGCAGCTCACCAAAACTGCTTAAGTAGCACTCCAGCCCAAATAATTGTCCATCTCTTTACCAGGCTGAGAGAGTGTGTACCATCTTAATGTTCATTTTGTTTCTGTGCTTATCTTGACTTAAACTTGGGAGGTTTGCCTTATGAAAAGTCAAGTAATTGTTTTGGTTACATGTCCAAAGCTTAATGTGTTCTTTTTTCATTCCTTCTACTGAAGTAGATCATAATGACCCAATTATTGCTGAACACTGATGGCTCATGTCCTCTGATTTCCTAACTAGGTTTAATCTTTGTTGTGGACAGCAATGACAGAGAGAGGGTAAATGAAGCCCGAGAAGAACTCACCAGAATGTTAGCAGAAGATGAGTTGCGGGATGCTGTGTTACTAGTGTTTGTCAACAAACAGGTAAGGTACCATCTTGTCTTGGCCTCTTCCAGGCTCTTATGGACCTTGCTATCTGAACCTAACCAGTCAAAGCTTTCCAGATAGCCTGTTAACAGGCTATGGGAAGACTTTATTAAAGTTAATGTAGCTGACAATTGAAGCCAGTGCTATACTAAGCTTATCACAAGGACTGCCCTATGGCTGGGTACTACCCAGAGACTATGGGCAAGCACCCTCCCCCCCAGTTGCACATGTTTCAGAAGGATACAGCTTTGTAAGGCATCCCAGGAAGAGTGCTGCTTGGGTAGAGCAAGTAAAACATCCTAAACTCTTTCTTCTCATGGTCAGGTTGATAAATTGACTTTGCATCATAGCTGGTGAAATTTTATAGTTTCTATTGCAAAGTTGACCTAATGTCAGTCTGCACTGTTGCTGAATGCAGCTGTCTAGATTCTTTCAGGTATCTTTTTCTAATATGCTTGTAAACTGTGCCAGCTTTTAGTATTTTGCCTGAAAGGCTTGCTCTTCCTTCTGCTCCTCCCTCCCTTCCCACTACTTCTCTTGCAATGGACAGGTTGGTGAATACTATGTGCTTTGCCACAATAAAGTTTAAATACAAACATGCATCCAAATATGGATTTCTAGACCACTTTAAAAGAACCCCAACTTATTTATTATAACTATGCTACTCTCCCTTTTGGTTATCCCCCAAAAGCTTTTAAATGAAAGTTGTTAAGCTTTAGACACAGTTACTAGTTCAACTGTAGCCTCTTGCCTTTCTTGTCCCGTGGTCCCTGAACTGTCCTGCATTGCAGCGCTTCCTCAGCACTTACTGGGTTGAAGATCTATGTAGCCTGACATGAGGCAGTCTCCTATTGAAACATTCTTGCCCGTTTCACTATAAAAGACTAATTGTGTCCCTTGTTACAAGACTGTTTGATCTGAATTTCCCCACAGGATCTTCCTAATGCTATGAATGCTGCGGAGATCACAGACAAACTTGGCTTGCATTCCCTTCGTCAGAGAAACTGGTACATCCAAGCAACGTGTGCCACCAGCGGAGATGGGCTTTATGAGGGTTTGGATTGGCTCTCCAACCAGCTCAAAAACCAGAAATGATCCATTTGTGGCATATCTTAGCAAAGTGAGCCCTGCTCTGCTGTTTGCAAGAATGCATGTACGGATGTATGCATGGATCTGAAAATGGGAGCAGCTTTTCTCACACTGTGCCTTAAACATGCTATAAAATGAAACCAACTGTATTGTATTTTAAACACTACCTTCCATAGCAATGTAGCATTCTTCCACCAGCAAGGGGAAACTTGAAGGATATCATGGTACTTGATCAGAAAAAGGAACTTGGTCAGTTGGAGGGGGGAAAAACCTGTTGTGTAAAATCTGAATTCTAGTTTAATAGTGTTGTGTGTTCTACACCTCCTCTGTGTAGCCTGTTTGTAGCACAGTTTGATTCCTTTCAGTCACTTTTGAGGAGAAATGTAGCTTTTAATAGCCCTGACTAACGTCCTAGAACTGTATAAACCAGCATGCTACTTGCTATTGCACACCCTGAGCAAAAGTGTTCTTGTAGTGTAAGATGTTTCCTGTTGAGACTGATCACCAGTCCAGACCATTTTGTGTTCCCTAGTGGAGCTGGTCTAACCTGTTCTCCCATATATAACATACCTCATTGTCAATGTTGTTAGGGGTTGTTTGGACCAAAGCTTCATCAACCCCATCCACAGATTCTTTCTATAGCTAATCCATTTGCCATCCCAGTAGAAAAGTCGGCTGGGCAATGAGCACTTTAAAGGGGCTGCTATAAGATGGCCAGAACGAAGCTTGGGGAAATAATAAAAAAAAAAAAAAAAAAAAAAAAAAAAAAAAAAAAAGAAAGTAAGGGAGGACAAAAAAAAACCAAAAAAAAAAAAAAAAAA